GTATAAGACAACTTAAGGTAAAAGGCCTAGCTATTTTGATTCAAAACAAAAAGTGTAAAGGGTATCATCCCAAAAGACGACTGATTATAGAGACAGAAATGAGTGGAAGTAGGATGTTTTTCTTGTTAGCTACTATGGCACCAAAAAATCCTACATGTTTTTAAATGGAGTTAGAGATTGAATCTCATCTTTGGCACTATTGATTTGGTCATTTAAGCTATTAGGACTTGAGTACACTTTCCTCTAAGAATATGGTAAGTGGTTTTCCCTTTATCATAACCCCAAAGAATATATGTGCCTATTGCTTAATGGAAAGCAACATTGAGGTTCTATGCCAAAATAAAAAAGTTTGTGGAGAGCATCAAACAAGCTTCAACTTGTGCACACAAGCAAATGTGGGCCTATCAAACTAGCTTCAAATAGTAACAAGAGGTATATCTTAAGTTTTATTGATGACTTTTCTTGTAAAACTAGGATTTATTTCTTAAATGAAAAGTCAAAAGCCTGTGTTGAAAAAGAAGTTGGTGAATATATTACTTGTTTGCAGATAGATAGAGGTGGGGAATTCACACTAAATGAGTTTGGAGAATTTTGTAGGACTCAAGGCATAAGTAGACAGTTGATTGCAGCTTACACTCCTCAGCAAAACAGAGTTACTGAGAGGAAAAATAAGACAATAATGAATATGGTGCAGGCTATGTTGGTTAAGAAGCAAGTTCTAAAGGTTTTTTTGGCCCAAAGTTGCAAGATGGTGTGTGTATGTTCTCAATAGATGTCCTACTATAGTTGTGCAAAAGAAAACTTTAAAAGAAGCGTGAAGTAGAGTGAAACCAACTGTGGAGTATTTTCGAGTCTTCGGATGCATAGCTCATGTTCATATACCAAATCAACAAAGAAGCAAGTTAGATTATAAGAGTAAGAAGTGTATCTTGTTAAGAGTGAGCAATGAATCAAAGGCCTATTGATTGTTTGATTTGACCTCTAAGAAAGTCATTATTAGCAAAGGTGTAGTGTTTGAAGAACAAAAAAGTTGGAATTGGGAGAAAAATGAATAAGAAGGAGAAAATATTAGTGTTGTCAACTCCATGGGTGATGGTGCTCATCCTAATGAAGTACGTAATGATGTTCATGAGATCCCAATTAAAGAGAGGGTTAGAAGAAATATAAGAGAACCTATTTGGATGACAGATATTACCGAATTGGAGAATTCTTGTCAAATGAAAATGGTTCAAATGCAATGATGATGGTAACTGAGGATGGTCCATTTTCATATGAGGAGGTTGCCAAAAGTAAGAAATGGAGGGATGCAATGATGAAGGAATTTAAATCAATAAAAAAAAACCATACTCAAGACCAAACTTAACAAGAATGGAGAAATATACAAGTTCAAAGCAAGATTAGTAGCGAAAGGCTATGCTCAACACTATGGAGTCAATTATAGAGGTGTTTGCTTTGCTAGCCAGGCTCCATACCATTCAAGTGATACTTGCTATGATAGCTCAACACACTTGGGACGTTTTTCAGTTAAATGTGAAAACTGTATTTCTTCATAGTGAACTCAATGAAGATATTTATGTGCAACAACCTATTGGTTTTGTGAAGAAAGGTGAAGAAGGAAAATTTTACAAATTAAGAAAGGTGTTGTATGACCTAAAGCAGGCATCGAGAGTATGGCACATCAAGATAATGACTTCTTTTGTTCGTGGAGGCCTCGAAAGATTTTTTTGTGAACATATATTGTTCATAAAATTAAAGGAAGGAGGTAAAATATTAATTGAGTCTTTATGTTAATGAGTTAATATATACCAAAAATGATTGAAGTATGTGTGATGAGTTCAAAAGCCCAATGATGTTAGATTTTGATATGTCATATTTAAGAAGGATGAGATATTTTCTTGAAATAGAAGTTAAGCAAGGTTTTAAAAGGAATATTTATATGTCAATGAAGATATGATCGTGAGGTTTTAGCAAGATTTGGCATGGAGAATAGTAATATTGTGAAAATTCTTATTGTTTTGGGCACAATTATCAAAAAATGAGGCAAGAACCAGAATTGATTCAACCATGTTCAAGCAAGTAGTTGGAAACCTTATGTATTTGACTACAAGATGTCCTAATCTAACTTATGAAGTAAGTTTAATTAGCATATGCATGTTTTGTCCTACTAAGTCTTATTAACTTGTAGCAAAGCAAATACTGAGATATTTGAAAGGAACAATTGATTTGGGCATGTTTTACAAGAAAAGTGGAAGTGCAAATATTTTGGCATACTCTAACAACAACTTTTTTGGAGATTTAAATGATCAAAGAAACACTTCTAGCTTTAAGCTTTTACTTTGTTCTAAAATAGTTTTGTGGTCCTCTAAGAAATAGACTATAGTGACATTGTCTACTATCGAGGCACATAGCAGTTGCATTTTGTGCTTGTCGATGTGTTTAGCTTAAAAGGGTGTTGGAGACACTTAACCTTAAAAAGTAGAAGAGCACCTTGATTCTATGTGACTAACTAAACCATAAAATTATCCAAGAATCCAGTGCTTCATGGGAAAAAAACATATTGACATAAGGTTTCATTTTTTAAGAGACTTGATGAAGAATGAAGTTGTTCGGCTAAGCTATTGTAATTCGTAGATTCAAGTTGTAGACATAATGACCGAGCCTTAGATCGGAGCAACTCTCAAGTCTTTGTAGCATGCTAGACAAGATTGAATCTTTAGAAGTAAACTAATGTTATAACATATAGTTTAAGGGAGGGAACGTTGGCTGTTAGGAGATATAATCATTGTTTTTTATGTAATTTTATTTTTCTATTTTAGTTTTGTAAATTAGTTTGTTAGTTTAAGTGTTATTCTTTAGGGATGTGCAGATAAAATTTAGATAGATTTTATCTAACCGCCATGTACATTGTTGAGTATGTAAAGCATATGTGTGGTTATTGTTTTGTTATTGTTATTTTGTAAGTCTATAAAGTCAACCTATTGCTTTGAATTGAAAAACACATTCCTTCGTATATCATTTTTTTAGTGCAGTATTATTTTGTGTTCAACATTGCATACAAGAGGCATTCCTATACTATAAAATTTAACTCAACTTTGATGTCTATATAAACAACTAATTAAGATTATAATATTATATATATATATGATCGTTGGTTTCCTCATTGTATATAGTTGGCAATCTCAAACACATCAATAGTCTACCTTAGATACATTATTAGTTCACCTTAAATATATTATTTTCATCCATCTCAAACATACTATTTTCATCCATCTCAAATATACTTGAAAGTTGAAACCATGACCTTTTCACCCCTTTTGCTAAACCTAGTCGAATTTTGTATGTATCCATCAAATACATTTATAATTACTAACTAATGACATATGAGTATACTAATTACTATTTACTAACATAAGAGTAGTTAATGTGATAATAAAACATTAAATTTATTTGTATAATTAATGTGTTAATATTCTTTTATAAATTTATATTATCAATATACGAAGGACATTTAACATCTATTAAAATGGATATTTTATATCAATTGTGAGATCGATGTAGATTTCACCAATGTTAAATAAAAATATTTTATACATCAATTAAATTTTAACCAATGTAAAAACATGCTTTGACTACTGTAACAGAATTCATATTAAGAATCAACAATAAGGATTCGGATACAAGTAATAATGTGTATTTTTGAATTTATCGAATAACAAGAAAACAACAATGATTACAAGAAGCAATTTGCAAGTCACAATTCCATCTTCTACAATGTTCTCAGCAGCTGAACATTAGAGTAACTTCACCTAGAATAGTAAATTTAGAGAGAATTAGGAAGAGTAGAAAGAGAGAAACTCAAGAAGGAGAGAATGATCAGAGAGAAGTCATACCAATTTTTTCCATACCCCTCATGTCACAAAGTCCTTCAAATATATATTCTTCCTCCAAATTCTATTGGTTCTCCTTAATCTTGCCACTTTTGTATCCTTTGCCACATGTGATGCCTTTGTAACTAACTTTTTTTGTTTAATTTTCCTTCCCACACTTGAGTTGCGTGTTACAATACCTTTTTTCCTTTAAAATCAACCTTGTCCTCAAGGTTGAAGGCTGGATAGAAGGATTGAATAACCTCCATGTCTTCCCAAGTAGCATCTTCTAGTCCTCCAATATCCCATTGTATCAACACTTGTTCCTTTAGCTGAGAATCATGCATTACTACTCTGACATCTAACACTTGTAAAGGCTGCATTGATGGTCCAACTTCTGTAGTTCCCGATGGAAGAGGAAAATATGGCTGCGAGCACTTTCTGTGAAACTTTTTCAATAATGAAATATGAAATACCAGATGTATTTTAGATGATTCTAGTAGCTTGAGCTTATAAGCTACTTTCCCATTCCATTGCAACACTTTAAAAAGCCCCAAAAAACCCCATGCCTAACTTCTTATTTCTCCTTATAACAACTAAATGTTGCCTATAAGGTTGCAATTTAACCAATGCCAAATCTCCCACTTCTAACTGAAAATCTTTCCTCCTTTTATTAGCTTTCATCTTCATATAGTTATGAGCCTTAAGCAAATTCAACTTCAATTGTTGTAGTAATGTATCTCTAACCTTTAAGGTCTCTTGAAGGTTCACTGGATCACTGGAATCTTGTTCATAAGGAATAACAATAGGAGGGTTTCTTCCAAAAATAGCCTTAAAAGGTGACATGCCAATACTGTGATGAAATGAGGTATTATACCTAAATTGTGCCCAAGGCAACATGGAGTACCATAATTTTGGATTATCGAATACAAATCAACTAAGATACATCTCTAATGTCTTGTTTAGATTCTCAGTTTGACCATCACTTTGAGGATGGTATGAAGAACTCATAACCAATGTAGTTCCTTGAGCCTTAAACAGGTGCTGCCAAAATAAACTAATGAATGCTATATCTTTATCCGACACAATAGAGCTAGGAAATCCATGAATTTTCACCATAGTGTTAATAAAAGCTTATGCCACCAATCTTCTATTAAATTCAGCTTTTAGAGGAATGAAATGACCAAATTTTGAGAGTCTATCCATAAAAACCATGATAGTTGAAAATCCATGAGAATTAGGCAATTTAGTTGTGAAATCCATGGCAACATCACTCCAAATCTGCTGAGGAATGGGAAGTGGTGATACACTAGGCCTCACAAACCCCTTTTCCAACAAGTCTTCTATTTGTTTCTTAAGCTCCACTAACTCTACGGGTGACATCCTATAAGGAGCAATAGAAATAGGTCCTATTCCTGTTACTAAATCGAGGGAAAACTCTACTTTTCTTGTAGGTGGTAAGGTAGACATATCATCAGAGAAGACATTCGAAAAGTCACACACAACAGGCAGTTCATTCACCAAAACATTGCTATCAGAATTCAAAGAAGCTAACAACATGTACACTTGGGGATCCTCTTGCAAAGATACCTTAACTTGGTTGGCAATCAAAAAGTCCTTACTCACCTTTTCAATAGGCTCGCCAAAAACAATAGATTTATCAGCACAATTCAAAAGGACATGATTGGAAGATAACCAGTCCATACCTAGAATAACATCTAGCTAACTTAGAGGCAAACAAATTAAGTCAACCATGAAATTTCTACCATCAATACTCAAAGGACACTTTAAACAGACATTAGAAGTAGAAACTGAACCACTAGTTAGTGTCTCTATTATTAATTCAAAAGACAAGGAAGAAACAGGTAATTTTAATTTGGACACACACGCATGTGATATGAAAGAGTGAGTCGCACCAGAGTCATACAAAACAATTAGAGGAGTTCCATTGATGAAACACATACCTTGGATTAAGTCTGCGGATTGAGTAGCTTCAGCACCACTCAAGGCAAACACCCTTCCTGTCGCTCTAGGTTTGCTAGCGCTCCCTCCAACCTCTTTTGTTCCTTTCTTGTTCTTGGGGCACTCATGAGCTTTGTGTCCCTTCTCTTGACAGTTGTAACATGTTATTACTCTTGGCACCCAGCACTCATATGCCCTATGACCTGGCTTCCCACATTTGAAGCAGTTTTTGCGTGGAACAGAACCCACACTCCCCCCTCTAGAAGTTTGGCTAGCCATTGGAGCTTGGCTCCTTTGTTGCACAGAACCTTGATTATTTACTTTAGAACTCGAATCCCCGACAGACTTGGTGTAAGGTTTACCCTTACTAGATGACCCAAACTTATTATGATTTTTCATGGGTCCTCCACTCTTATAATGAGTTACTCTAGCATGGTTGTCCTCATCATAGACTCGACACTTGTTTACCAGTTCATAATATTGAGTGATCCCTTGGTAATTGAAAACTTGTTTGATCTCAGGGCGAAGACCACTCACAAACTTCACACACTTGTCCTCTTCATTACCCACACCATCATACATGGGACAAAATCTAACCAAGTCTTCAAACTTAGTTACATACTCAGCCACAGAATTCTGTCCTTGCTTCAACTCAAGGAATTCCACCTGTTTCCTATGTCTCACATCTCATGGAAAGTATTTCTCCAAGAATAGCCGCTTGAAATTCTCCCAGTTCACTTGGGTACTTGCAGCCATCATTCTTTGCAAAGCACCTTGCCACCAGACCCTAGCCTCTCCAGAAAGCATGAAGGTAGCCAAAGTCACCTTCTGCACCAAAGGACATCCTATAGCTTGGAATATCTTTTCAACCTCAAAAATCCAGTTAGAAGCTCCATCAGGATTATAACCTCCACGGAAGCTTGGCGGATTATTTCGCTGGAATCTCTCCAACCAATCTACCTCTGGTCGTTGGTTCAAAGTACCCAGAGCTTGAGCCATCGTTTGTAGAGCATCAGCGATTGAACGATCATTCCTACCTCCTGCCATTACTCTTCTGATCCCTAGAAAAGTTAGCAATTATACTATAATTAAATAAACCCTAAACTTAATCAATCATCACACTAGCATATCAATAGGTTCTACAATCAATTCATCTACCAAACAAGAATAATAGACTCATAACTCATGGCCGATTGGATCGACCTGCTTTGATACCACTAAATGTGACATCCTTATTACCCCAACACATATATCGTAATAATGCAATTAAATTAAGGAAATAAATTTTTTCAACGTATTGGTAAAAAGGTTCACATAAAAACCTTCACAAATGATCTTCAATGTCCAACATGAATAAAATTTGGAAAATAAAATATAAGAGTTTACAACTTGTTTTTAAAAAATAATAACTACAACTCCAAATTCATATAAAAATTTTATTTCCTAGAAATTCTCTGCCCCGATGTCAAAATATCAGAGCACACCCACAATTCAATAGTTGACATTCTAGATGTCACTCAAAGCCGGATCTTCCTCACCTAAAACATCCACAAATTATACGGTGAGAAAAGAAAACATCTATATGTAAAGAACACAAGGAAAAACACAACATAATCTTATCATAACTCATCAATTAATGAAGTCTTTACAAGCATATCCATACATTCTAATTCTATCAATCATGCATCATATTCACATCACAATTTCACAATCACACCAATCTATCACAAATCTTGCAATTAACACTATGTCAATGGTCACGCCACCTCAAGGTCGTGCCACTCTAGACATAAGTGATACGTATTAATTGCCTCACTCATCCCACACTATGCCAGGGGCACGCCATCCCTGTAGCATCACTTACCCAGGGTCATCTCATCCCTGGTCATATGTGTGAGGAACCACAATTATATCACAATCACAATCATTACAAATCTTACTATGTCAAGGTCACGCTACCCTTTTACAGCCTAGGGTCGTGCTCACCCTTGACATAACATTGTGTCAAGGTCACACTACCCTTTTAGCAGCCTAGGGTCGTGCTCACCCCTGACATAACACTGTGCCAAGGTCACGCTACCCTTTTTAGCAGCCTAAGGTCGTGTTCACCCCTGGTCATCAGTACGGGATCCACAATCACATCTCATTCACATTCCACACATCTCATTTCATAACTCAAATTCCATATTACATACAGATAAGTCCACACAATACAATGATTCACATACCCATCAAGCAATTAACCATGAATACACATCTATAACAATAATATAATAATATTTGTAAATTAATATAAAACCCAATAAATTCACCAATTTAATACAATATTAAATCAAATAGTAAAACCCCCAATTTTTCCAAAACTTAACTCACAAGCACTTTTCTACAATTTCGTTCTCTCTCCCATATCATCATTTTCACAAATTAAATATATATTTCTAATTCTCAATACATACAGAATCTAATGGGATCATCAATTCCTCAGACAGAAATAATTATAAAATTACCTATAATTCTAAGGGGCTCTTTCTCTACCCAATTCCCTCATGTAGCTTTGTATACAAATAATCCCTTTTCCCCCCGTACCTTGATAAATAGTAGCTGAACTAAGCAGGATCTGGTTGGTCTCCTCCATTGGGTTCCCCTCGGTCTTCAAAGAGTGCAGAAGAAGAGAAGAGAGTAAAGAAAAAAAGAAGTCAGAACTAAAAAGTGTGCTTTTTGGGAGTGTCAGAGCTCTCTATTTATAGGCATCAGGCATCGCCGGAATGGCCCGTTTTAAATCCGGAATGGCCCGTTTTGGACTCTTACATTATGTGTAAAATTCACATCCAAAACGGCCTGTTCTCAAACTAGAACGGCCCGTTCTGGGGTTGCATTTAACCCATAACGGTAATATTTGGAACGACCTGTTCCGAACTAGGATTACAAGCCTTTTTAGTAGTTTGGAACGGCCCGTTCCAATTTTGGAACGACCCGTTCTAGGCTACTAAATTACCCTTGTTTTAGTATATTGGAACGGCCTGTTCCAATTTGGGAACGGCCCGTTCTGGGCTACTAAACCATCCCTGTAAATTTATGAAAATTACTCAATTACCCTCACTAAATGGTATGAAAAATGGGGTGTTACAGCCATTCTTTCACGGGTTTAAGTTTACTATTACCCTTTGCAACTTCGTTTCCAGATAACATATGTCCCAAGTATTCAATTTCCTTAACACCAAAAGATCATTTTGAAAACCTAACATACAATTGGTGTTGTTGTAATATTCATAGTATCACCTCTAAATGATACAAATGCTCCTTCCAACCTAGACTAAATACCAATATGTCATAAAAAAAACTAATACAAACCTTCTTAGCAACCCTTTAAAAATATTATTCATCAAACTCTGAAAAGTGGTAGGGCATTAGTGAGCCCAAATGGCATAACAAGCCACTCATAATGCCCATGATGAGTTCTAAATGTTGTATTTTGTCTATCTTCAGTATTCAACAGTATTTGATGATAGTTAGACTTTAAATCTAGCTTAGAAATAATTGTAGCACTATACAGTTCATCAATTAATTCATCCACTATAAGTATAGGAAATGTGTCCTTAATAGTGATTGCATTAAGGTCCCTATAATTAGTACAAACCCTCTATGATCCATCCTTCTTCTTAACAAGAATTATTGGGGATGAAAAAGGGCTCTTACTTGGCTGGATTATACCTTCTTCAAGAATTCTATTAACCAACTTCTCAATCTCCTCCTTCTGGCTTTGAGGATATCTATATGGCTTTAGATCCCTCCACTAATGGAATAAAGTGATCATGTAGGAGGTGGCAATCATGTAAGTCTATCAAAAATAACTCTATAAGAATGAAGCAACAATGCCATTTCATGTTCCTTGTCACTAGGCAATTCTAATAATGGAAATTGATGAGAGTTTGGTTCAATTATTTGCATACTAAAGACCTCGGAAATAGCATCATTATGGATCATTCTTCGGATATGATGTAAGTGAGCTGGTGTAGGTAAGACATCAACCTCACCCTGCAAGGTAATAAATTTGCCTTGATGCATAAATTTCAATTGCAATACATCATAATCTGCAATTTGGGGTCCTATAGTCTTTAACCAACCAGGCCTAAGAATTAAATCAGCCCCAAACAGAGGCAACAAGAATACGAGAAGGTTAAAACTATTTCCCTGTACCTGAATGTACAAATCTTTAATCATTCCCTTAGCAGCCATATAATTTCCATTTCCTACCATAACCATCATTGCAGGTGCAGGTTCAATAGGCAATTTAAAAAATTTAGCAATCCTTTGTTGAAGGAAATTATCAGAACTTCCCCCATCCATCAATACTTTGATTGGTAATTTATTGATTATAGCCATGAATCTAATAGTACCAACTCCCAAACCTCCTTTTAAAGCATTCAAGGACAAATGATGATCTTCCTCAGTAACTTCAATATTATCGTGAATGAATTCCTTATTCTCCTTAGTGACCAACAATTCATTGTCCACATCATCCTCCACAATTTGTAACAACAAAAACTGCCTATTAGGACATTTATGATTAAAAGTGAACTTGTCATCATAGAAATAAAACAGGCCTTTCTCCCTCCTCAGCTGCATTTCAGTAGGAGATATTTTCTTCACATTAATATTTCTAATAGGATTTGTGGAAGGTGTGTAGGTAACAATGGAGGTAAAGAAACCTCCTTTTAATAGTATTTCTAATTAATAGGATTTGTGGAAGGTGCATGCTGCAACTGAGTAGCAACTTCTTTCTGTGCGAGATCTCGATCATGTTGTGCATGATCCCTAATTTCAATCAGATTCATCAATCTCCGAAGTTCTTCACCTTGATTCACAACCTAATTTTGTAATTCCTTCGTACGTGTATTCTCATCCATTGATGTCAATGAAAGAACTAATGAAATAGAACTGATATTACGAATCAACAATAAGAATCTAAATACAAGTAATAATGTGTATTTTCTGAATTTATCGAATAACAAGAAAACAACAACGATTACGAGAAGCAATTTGCAAGTCACGATTCCATCTTCTATAATGTTCTCAACAGCTGAACTTTCGAGTAACTTCACCTAGAATAGTAATTTTAGAGAGAATCAGGGAGAGTAGAAAGAGATAAATTCAAGAAGGAGAAAATGATCAAAGAGAAGTCAAACAATTTTTTCCACACCTCTCATGTCACAAAGTCCTTCAAATATATATTCTTCCTCCAAATTCTATTGGTTCTCCTTAATCCCACCACTTTTGTATCCTTTTCCACGTGTGTTGCCTCTATAACTAACTTTTTGTTTTATTTTCCCTTCCCGTGCTTGAGCTATGTGTTACAACTAGGGGTGGGTATATGGATTTGAGTCCGCGGACCGATCCGTAAGTCCGCGGACTTCACGGATAACGGACCCATTTTTTTTAATCCGTATAATTAGGGGTGGGTATGCGGACCGGTCCGGCCCGTTTAAGGCCTGGTCCGCGAAGTCCGCATTTTTAACGGGCCGGATAAATCCGGTCCGCGAAATAAATGGACTTAAATCTTCAAGTCCGTATCCGGCCCGTGA